GTACCGTTACGTTACGGTAAGGTAAGTACCTACCTTTACTTACTACTAACTAACTAACGAACCACCAAACAAAAAAGAAAAACCTAACCTCTCTCTATATACTCTACACTATACTCTCTCTCCTCCCTCCCTCCCTCCCTCCTCTCTCTCTCTCTCTCTCTCTCTCTCTCCAACTTGCCCCTTCAATTCACATGATTACAATGCCGCCTCTCTTCCTCAGGTTACTCCATGTGATTTACCCAAATTTATCTCACCTATTTTCTCTCCACTTACCTATTTTCTCTCCACTCTCCAAGATTGTAAGTGCCATGATATAACCAACGTAGGTACCAAGGTTCCCCACCTAAACTGCAAACCCATGCCATAAAAATTGGAACCCCCACTCCACTATTTAAGGGCCCAGAAAACTACCATGTCCAAAGCATTAAATAAAATCCTTTCTAGGCCCTCATTAAAATAAAATAAAATAGCATAAATTAAGATCAGCGACCTATTAAATGTGCTTTGCATCAAATAATGACCCACTTCATGTAGATTTCCCAACTACCAAAAAAACAAGTGCAATAATTCATGCTGCAATTTACCTATCAAAAGAAAAAAGCATGCCGCTGTCAGGAACATGTATCCACAAAATAAAGTAGATACAAACCTTTGAGACATTCTCAATTTGATCCAGCAATGATATTATGTGTCGTAACGTAACAGATCGATACCATAACTGATGTAACTGCTTATTTCGAGAACCAATAAGTTTCTTTGACTCTGCCAAATCAACCTTCAAAACTGCAAGGCTTTCAGCAGATTCACTAAACAGCCGCAATATCTGAGAAATAAGGTCAAATAGACAAAAACATTAGACGTGAATTAGCATAGTGCACATCAACACTTTCAAAAAAGCTAGAGCAAGATTCCTTCTTTATCGGGGAGGGGGGGGGGGAAGGGGCTGGGGAAAGTACGATACGCTAATATGCAAAAAATGACAAATGAAGACAGCATAAAAAATTATGCAAAAAACCTGCGAATAGTTTTGAATTGCTTTGTTGAAACCACTATGATACTCATGGACTACTTCATCTACAACTTCTTCAATGACCTCGCTTTGCTCCTTTAAAAACTGAACCTCTCCTTCACGGTCTTTTGATGTTAAAATATGAACAACATGGGGTAATGAATCGAAACGAGTAGCAGTCCACCCTTCATCAATCTTTGAGAGCTCATCTCTCAAGTACTACAAATACAAACAAGAAGAACTAGGATAATTTTGGGATATACAAAAAATATTGAAAATGTTTCCACTCTATCATATAAACAACAAGAAATGGCTTATATAAGCATTAACTATTATATAAAATACATCAGATAAAAGAGAGAAAATTTGATTATCAGTAGCTTTTCAAATCACCAAAAGTGATACATAAAATTCGTACAAGTATTTCCATATGCAACCTATTCAATGCAACAACCACCAGTAGCCATAAACCAAGGAAACAAAGACAGCAGCCAAAATTGCAGCACAAAAGAACATGTCACATTAAAGTTGTGATCTAGTTAACAGCTGTTGTATACAACAATTGCTGTGTATCTAACAGAATGCACATGAGAACCTACATGGTCAAGGTTGCTACAGCACATAGTAATAAAGGATATGCATGTTATAGCTGCTTCATCACAGTTACAATAGTCTCGTAGAATTGAGGTCCCCCCATTGCTGTATATTGGTGCATTCCTATCATCTTCTCTCCCCCCTCCCTTAAAAATGTATTTTTGTATTCCTATTCCCTTTTTACCAGCTTCTTTGTACTAATGAAGAAAAATTGATGCATACCTTGGTCTATAAATAGATGGTTAAATACCAAAACATGCTTAGAGAGATTGAGAGAGCATGGTAGTAGAGAGAACATAATTGTGAATGGTATGTGTCTTCAGTCCTTTGGGTTCAACACACCACAAGCCACCAACCCCACCATCTCTTACAAGCAATTTGTTGAATCTGAGAACTGCAAAAACAACATAAACTATAGGCCAAGAGGGAGTCTGTAAAGTTCCAAATGCATGGTGCCATGCCCGATTCATACAAAACTTGCTTGAATTCTCCATAGAAAACATACGAATTCGGAGGATAGGTACAGCAAGGAATGCATGAGGCCTCATAAACCTAGTTCAGGATGAAGTTATGATCTAAACTATTGTTTTACTTTGTTTCTACCCTCTCCCTCTTCTCTGTCCCAATCATTGTATGTGTCTACGTTTGTCAGTTCTCGTTCATAGGACAACCTCATATCTACTTAATCCCATAATCAAAAGTAAAATAGCTACCAGCCTTAAAAGATACTATTACATGGAATAAAATTGCTCTACCGCATGGTAAAGAATGGTTGTAAATGGATGAACATGCAGAAGTTCAAGCCAAAAGGCACGTGTTGCAGATACAAAGCTGCCTCATTGTCTGGGTAACGACCCAATTACCCAAGTATGGATTGCATTATGAGGAGACTTCCGCATTGATTGCCAAATATAACCACCATTCAGACCATGAATGCCTTGGATCCATGATATAATGGGGTATATGTTAGGTGACTGTTAAAACAGTGTTATTCCATAGTGACTTTGAAGAGGAAGTTTATAAGATATTTACTTTTCAACCTTTCACATAGTTTCTTATAGGGAGATTCATTTCCCTACCCCGACCAATGAGTGCACTAAGGCCAGGTTTGTCATCAAAGTAACATTGGCCACCCTGCACATAACAGCATAACATAAGGATGAAACCAAATTCAAAAGCGCCTCTCCAGGAAAGGATCAAGCCCCAGAACCAGATATTTTCTCAATTTTTGGGACTGGTTAAAGTAGATGTGATAAGAGCATAAATGATTTCTTCACCAGAGGCAGATTGAATTGAGAGTTGCACACTGAACTCCACATTCATAGCTCTTATACTCACTAACCACATGACCTCTTCAGCATCCAAATGCAACACAACCAAAATTTTATGGGCCTATCAGAAAAAGTGGATTTGCTTACACCTCATCCTCATGCCTGTCAAGTTCGTTAAATAATCTACAAGAAGAGGCAATTTCAGCAAAAATGTCTGAATCTCACTATCAAGTACTTCTTGACCGTTGTCATGAAGATTGTTTATGCCAGATGCCCTTCAAATTTTTAAAACACATGGGTATGCACCCCAGAAGATTAACCCATTGGACTGCCATCTAGAAGCTCAACTCACATTTCTACCTCCTAAACATGAATTAGATTGATCCACGTATGAAAAAGAATAAGAAGCTTTAAGATGTTTAATATTTGCATTTCAAACTCGCCATATACGCCACATGATCATAATGATTATACTACTGATTGGAATAAATAAATAAATAAAGCGATGGACAACACGCTATAGAACCATGTAGTAATGAAAAAGAGGACATCGTCTAACCAGATGTAAAAGACAAGTAAAAATCCAATACATTTTGAATTAGTTACTAACTGACAAGATGTTGGGCATATATACTATTTTAACTTCGAACACCCTATGTGTCAACACTTCATAAGTACTCAAGAACACCCAAAACATAAAAATATTAAAGTTTGAAGGCTATGCATATCATGAAGTATTATCCACCAGTAATAGAATGGTGAGTTCAGATAATAAGTTGCATCATAACATGATGGTAGTGGCTAGTAGAAACATCCAAGTACCAGATGTACATTTCAACATCAGGTACGTTCATAATCAAGCAATAATGCGTTGGAATTTTCTTTGTAAAATAACGGATGGAAAGTTTCTGAGCCAAACTTCAATTACATTACAAAATTCTGATGATCTTAGTTGCATCTATTTTTTTTTTTTGTTCCATTTTTTTCTTTTTCTTTTTCTTTTTTTTTGGCTACATAAAACCTAGATGCATCCATTTTAATTTGGGCATCAATTTCTCAAGCCAAACCAGTAAAATAGTTTTTCATGAGATAGTGAAATAAAGAAGACCTAAACATAAAACTAGAGTGCGTAAAACCTTAAACTAACCAGGAATCAGAGCATGAAACAATAGTAATCAAAGCAATGATAAAAACTCACAGATTTGTCTCTAGAGACAGGCAATTTGTCAAACAATCCCTGCCCTGGATACCCCATCCTCTCTTTTCATCTGATCAATTGCCTAGCATAAACTCCCCTCATTCCTGAGACATTGCCTTGATCAGTCCATAAAACAAAAGCCGTAAATTTTCACGATTTCAGAGCTTCTAGTTCCTCAACTAATTCCTATTTTCCTCATTATACATTTTGATGAGTTAAATAACCTCTATGAGGTGAATCAAATCAACAAATAGTAAAAGTTTGAGAGAGAAACTAAGGGGCCAGCATAAAATCCCAGAGGCTCCCATAATTATTTTCCTTTATGGAGTGCTCAAACAACCACACACGAGGCTAAAACACAGCAAACATGAACCAGAAGAATGAGATAAAAGCTTAAAAGAGCAACAAAGGCGACAATTTGTCAAGTGAATCAGAGGAAATTCACAAACAACTTTCAATTGAACAGATCAAGAGACGCTGAAACCCCATGAAAAAAAAGCAAAGAAAAAGCCAATTTTTTCTCGATCAGCTGATCAGTGAATTTCATATATAAATGGGTGCAAAATGAGATATGGAGCGTAAGGGTAAAGACGACAACACAACACAACTTCAAATGGATTTCCACCGTGAATCTTTCATCTCTCTACAAATGAAGCATGTCACTTTTGTCATCGAAGGAGACTCTGCCAACGTCATCTCGTGGGCTTCCGATTCAGCCCAATGCCCTTGGAGGCTCGATCCCGTTTTTGACGAGATCTACCACAGGTGTTCAGTTGTGCACATTGTTTGGAGGCACACTTGAGATAGGCTAACTCCATCGCTGATTCCCTCGCCAAACATCAAGCCCTGGGCTCGAATTTTGTGGATACTCCATTCTAGTTCATCTATATCCCTTGTACACTTTTGTAAGAATTGTATTTTCTGTAGGCCCGTAAAGGGTCGCTCTCACGTTCAACCCACTTTGTGGGTGGGCAAACCTTGTATTCTCCTCTTTATTTCGATACAACAAGTACACATTCTCAAAAAAAAAAAAAAGTCACTTTTGTAGAGAGCGAAGACGAAGAGAATTTGCAGAGACAAAGAGAATTACAGTAAATATTTGAGATAGAAGATAGAAAATCTTACCTGCATTGATGCACATAGAGAGAAGAGGCAATAGAAGAAGAGGGCTTTTCATGTATAGTAAATCTATGGTATTGTGCTCTGCTCCTTGGCCCGTGCTATGGCTTTCGTTTCTCTGGTTTGCGTGCTCGCTGGAGCATGTGGCGCGTTCAACATCTCGGTCAGAACCGAGTTATCAAATTATTTTTAGGGTGCGGTTTGTATATGGCCGAGGGTACTAAACAATCAAGTTAAAGCACACCTTCAAATAGTCTCGACAAATGTGGCTTCAATAATGAAAATCTTTGTGATAACCTTAACATATATTTTTATTTCTAATTATAAAATTTAAAGTTTAAATTTCTAATTATAAAATTTAAAGTTTAAAAACTAGTGTAAATCGAATATATCTATAAAAACTTGAAAATCTTTAAAATCGACCATTTAAAAATACATTATAAGATGCACTATTTTTAAAACTTGAAATCCATTTTTTTTTCTGATGTTCATGCTTCTTGAGGTCGAGATGATCAATTTGAGGATTCTAATGAAATTTTTTAAGTGCATTCTAATTTTATTGTTTATAGCCTCATACTTAGATGAACTTTCTCCTTTTTTTTATGACCCAAAAAGTTCAGGTTGGCAACCTAAATATAAAACATTTTATCGGCCAATCTACATTAGATAATACAAGGTGCAAATTCTAATTTATGTGTCACTTGTTTGTTTATTTGATATAATAAGTTGGTTTTGAGAATTTTGGATTCTCAAAGAATAAGAAGATGCAGCTTCCATACCTATGCTATTCATTTAATTTATATTTTTAAGGAAATTTGCCTCTCTAGTTGTGCCCTCTCTCTTTCTCTAAACCCTTTATCTAACAAATATACCATTCATCATTTGTACATAGAGGTCACAATCATTCTCACTTATTAAATTCAAATTGGATGGCATGGGATGAGTTACGAAGTTCAAAATTAAGAGGCAATAATGGTGGTTGTAACCTCCATGTACAAGAGATAAAGGAAAAAGTTCATATAAATGTGAGGCCATAAATAATCAAATCAAGAGGCACATCAAAATTGACTAGAAGAGGTTGTTTCCATACTAAAAAATCCTCAAATTAATGATTTCCACCTCAATATGTATGGACATGAGAAAAAAATAGATTTTAATTATTGAAAGTAGTACATATTGAAAAGCATCGTCTAGACTAGTATCCACAAAATTGAATCAAAATGGTTAACTGGACATGGGCTTGGAAGCGGTTTAATCGACCTAACCGATAAATCGACCGATTCAACCACTTTAACCGGACAAGTCTCGGGCGATCAAAAAAGTACTGAAAAAAAATAAAAAAAATACAAAAAAAATCTACTAAAATATGAAAAGCATATAAAGAACGATTAAAACAAAACGCATTCACATGAAGTTAAAATTTAATGAAAAAGTGGATTTTAATCCATTTTATATTTTCCAAGGGCTATTGTTACGATTTTTTAAAAAAGATGAGAAAATATAAAAATGAGTATTAATGACCCAAACAAATTTTAATCTTTACCATAATGTAAATAATATGTAAATAATATTTAAAAATGCGTTACAAATCAAATTCCTTATTTTTTGGAATTTATATATATATATATATTTTGAATTCTTTTTTTAAATACCGATTGATCACCATAACCACCTAAAACCGGAGCTTGCCACTGGTGGGTTCCGGTTTTAGGTGGTTAGGGTGATCAACCGGTATTCAAATTCCCTATTTTTTAAAGTGTTCATAGATTTAATTGATCTACATTGTTTTTTAAGCTTTAATATCATAACTATATGCGAAAGTAGACTTTCAGACCATCATAAAGTTTTCCAATACTTAAACAGCATCTTCTATACTATTTGAAGGTGCACATTGCTTTGATTGTTTAGAACATCAACCTTCTACAAACGACACACACAAATAAATAGTCTCTTTATAGACAATCTATTTTCTAAATGTGCATTTTTTTTATTTGACACTTTGTCCAACGCATCTAGTTAGCAATGTCCTTTCTCTCCTACTCATTTCTCCCGCTCTTCTATCTCTACTATTACCTTTTGTTTCTAACTTTGCAATTTTTGTGAATGTATCGGTCCTTTATCGAATTTTCTCTCTCTCTTTCTCTCTAATCATGCATTTTATTTTGACTCTTTCTACTCTCTAAATGTATCATTTATTTCTCAAACCGTGTCATTTCTCTCTCTAGCTTCTCTTTCTTTAATCATGTATTTTCTCTCATTCTATGTGAAGCCCAGTCTATGTGAAGCTTTGTTAGACTATAAGGCCTCTGTGGGAAGGTTTCTCAAATCACTATAAAGCCCGATTTAGGCATTTGAGAATTTCTAGATAGGTTATCAAACAAGTATTACGTAACTTCCAGATATCAACAGTTCCAGCTTTCAAGGAATTAGAACTTTCAAGTTCTAAGGAATCCTTAACTTTCTGATACTAAATATTCCTTAATGGATCATTTGGCAACTGAAATGTGGAATTAGACTTGGACTTTCCAATTCTATAAGAAGTTAGAACTTTAAGTACCCAGTAAAGGAAGGTACGGCTTTAGTTAAGAGATTATAAGAATCTTGGACATTATGTTTGGTTTGACTTGGGATTTTGTATAATTAGAAAATTGTGAGTATAAAAAATTTGTAAATGTATTGGATGAAAATTAGTATCAAATTTAATATCAATAGATACTCATACAAGAAACAACATCTCAATGTTTTATGTATATTTGTAAAATATTGGAAGTCTATAATGCACTACACATTTTGTTTAACTCAAAAACAAATTTATAACTATTTTTAGTATATTTTTTTTAAAAAAAGGCCAGATCAGGCCTAATCGGTGACACGGACCACCAATATGTTGATCTAGGGTGGGCACTCCAAGTCACTTATCGTTTTTTTAACCTTGCAAAATAGTAAATTTGCACTTCAAATTCCCTTTGAAAAATGTACTTTTGACATAAAAAACCATTCAATTTGCACTTCAAATTCCCTTTGAAAAATGTACTTTTGACATAAAAAACCATTCAATTGCCCAAAACTCTATTTATATTTAATTATAAAGTGAAAGCTACAAAAATAGCACTGACATGACAAATTTACGATCACTTGAAAATTGATAGTCTCGATGACATCTCACACGATAAACTATTGTCAAGGCTTGAAATAATTTGTTGAGAAATTTATCACAATACACTTTAAACTTAAACTATTTGATAGTTTACCCTAAGTGTATTTTGATAAATTTCAAGACCAATATTGAGGTGTAATTTGATGCGCTATTTGAAATTTTATCAAACAATGATGAACTATTTGAAATTAATTAAAGGAAAAATATATAAAAAGACTATTTACTTTTGATAGAAAGAAGTTACCATCACTATTTTCTGTCAAATTTCAAATTAGGTGGTTGTAAGAATGTCATTGACTAGACTCAGTGTTAAAAGAAAAGTACTCAGACTTCGTAACATACCCAAAGCATCAAATTTGACATCTAATGGATGCGAGTAATTATGACCTCCTTTTAATAAAGGTAGATGGTTTTATACTATACAATCCCTTAATTAAAAAATAAGGATAAGAAGTTAAATAGTCCAAATGTCATGTAGTTTCATAAGGTTCCTACAATTTATTTTAGATCCACAAAGTTATTAAATATGGACAGCCAAAAGCCCAAAACTTATAATTTCCGGCGGTGGGGCTTTGCTTTTTGCTATAGGGGCCGGTCCTTGTGATACCATATTCTAGAAAAAAAAACATAGAGTATGTGCATAATGAGCATAGTTTTCTTTTACTCCGTTCGTTCGTCAGGTGACCCACTTGGGAGGAATTTTTTCAATCTTAAACTTTTGTGACACCCTTAGAATCACTTGATGATTATTCTCATTAAAAAAAAATGGATATTGAGTTTTTTAACATTCTTTTATTGGGTAAGTTTTTTAACATTCATACTCTCTAAATTTACGAAACTTTATACTTAATCTAGAGACATTATTATTTTTTCCAATGGTTAGAGGGTGCAATTAGGAATTTTTTTATTGAAGTTCGAAGAGGTTATATCCCCAAAATTTGGAGTCCTAGAATTACTAGTAGGCCAGGTTTAACCCGCAGGAGTAATTGAAAGGATAGAATATAATCAAATTTAGAATAGAAGACATGAAATTTCTATAAAGCTTAGGCTTTATGAAAACAAAATAAAGCTTTACTTCAAATCTTTAATTGAAAAGCATTTTCTGCACTGGAAATCATCATGATGGCTCTAAAATCAATTTTACAATAAATTTTAAAATTAAAAAATAATACAAATCTTGGGGGTCCGTAAACACTTATTTTTAACATGAAATGAATAGCCTAGATGATATTTAAAATTTTAATTTTTTTTACTACCATAATATTCAAGCCGAGACGATAGATTTAAATTTTTTTGCACCACTTAAATCGCAATTTCAATCAATGGGTCATGAGGTGAGGCTGTACTTATTTTGATCGGGCTGCAGCCCTATCAAACCATTTTCCTATAGGAAGAGAGATTAGGGGGACGAGAGATTAAGGGGTGTGGAACTGGAGAATAGAAGAAGTTTCATGTGAAGGGAACCAAACTAGAAATAGGCGGGAGAGGGGCGCTTTGCACGAGGAAATAAATCCAAAGTCTAGAGAGAGAGAGGTATTTGAGGGTTTATCAGGAGAGAGAGAGAGAGAGATATTTGAGGGTTTATCAGGATTTCCAAAGAAAGCATCACAAATCAGGAGGTAAAAGTAGTCCTATTTCTCATTCCCTTACCCTCCTTTTCAATAATTTGCAGAGTCTCTGTTGGTTTTGTTATTTCTTCCCATTGTATTATCTTCGACTGAACTCTTACCCAATTCACTCAGCAACATTTGATTGCATAATTTATTTCAAGTAGGTATTATTTTTAATCTTTCTGTACTCACTTAATTTCAGTTCAGTGCATCAGTTTCATATAGTTCCTTTTATCTATCTAATTCTCCTTTTTGTCCTGAGTTGTTTCTATTGAATACGAGGATAATTATTTCTTGCTTTCTTGAAATATTTAAAATGCACAAATCGGTCATGTTATTTGTTAATTAATTGCAGAGGAGTGATAAGATTAATGCAGTATAACACTTTCGATTCTTATCTATTACGAGAGCTGCATTTAATTTTATTTTTTGTTGATTCCTTGCATCGAATAAGGTTTAAATAACTTCAGTATGGCTGGCTAGAATGTCTCTAGAGGGCCCTTCCTCCTTGGGTTGTTGCATAGGGCATGCGAGGCCCTTATTAATGTATGTATGCATTTAGTTCAAAAGGATTTTAGGCATGGTTGTGAGTATGCGTTGGTGTCATGGTTGAAGCATCAAGGATTACCAAATTTGATGATGTTTGGGAGATTTTTTTTTGGGTGAAATGATATTTGGGAGATGACAAGGGTGATTCTCTCAAGATGGTCATAGAATATAGGATCTCCTCCCATAGTTTTTTCTTTTCATATCAATATTCATGCCATAAATATGAAATTCTTACCACTGGCCATCACCAACAATTTTTTTTTGGGGTTGTCAAATTAATTAGCAATTTGGATCAGCACAATGGCCTATAAACACAATAGTTTTGATGCTGGAGTTCTTTGTTTGGCCATCCACTATTGCTTCAACCACCATTCTTATTCCTTTTTTCCAGATTTGTTTGAGGGCGAGCTTTCTATGGTCTCCAAACACTACCTAAGATATGTGTGTCTAGGGACCAAAAGCCATCCAGTGTTGATTAGGCCATTGGGAGTGAGCCAACAACAACTTCATACATTATTTACAACCTAACAAGGATATTTGGTGCTAGCATTGGTTTGCCATATTAAATATCCAAACCATGTCTAAAACCCTCCTGAGGATTAAAGATGATTTCCTAATGCTCATCGATGCAATTAGATCTTTGAGGTCCTCAATGAGGCGCACAAATATTCAGGGTGAGGAGTTGCAATGCAATCATATCCTGTGAGGTGTTTAAGTTCAGAAGCATACATTCAATGTGGAGGGATCCTCCATCATGGGTAGTGGGACGCTAAAATTCACTGTACTGGTGTTTAACTGCAATGAGTGCATCTGATGGAGGGCAGACTGAAGCGAGAGGGAAACTTTCCATTACATTTTTGTTAGGACTAGAAGGCATCGATCAATTTCCTCAATGCTATTTTTAAACCCAAAACCTCCAACTTGACCTAGCCAGCCAAATTACCTCATATTCCTCCTACTTGGCCTAAATCCTAAACCCTAAACCTTGCACTTTCAATAGAGCCTTGAGTAAAGTTGGGTGAGATTTGACTTTTGAGAAAGGTAATATGTAACCTATCACGAGAGAAAGCTAGATTGTGTCTTGTGGAGATCCCCAACCTGCCTTGCTTCTTACTTTCCAATTGCCCCTGCCACACAGCCCCCCCTTCTCTTCATGGGTAATCCTACATTTTCCATTTTATTGCTCACCCTCCTTCCCTTGCTTCTAGCTTTCCAGGTTTCCTACTGTGTGTGTGTGTGCCGGCACGCGTGCAAGAGGATAGTCCTTCCCCTGTACTCTCCTCTCTACTCCCACTCCCCTCACCAAAAAAAGAAAAAAGAAAAAATAGAGCTTGCCAAAGCCACAGTTTTCACATCAGGGCTTTGTCAAGTATTTCCTTCAGTCTTCAATCATGGTTTTGTCAAATCTTTTGTTGTTTAATATTGTTTCTGTGTTAATTTTGGCCTGGAATTTCTGTTGTTTGTTGTGCTATGGCTTTGTCCTTTGTACTTCAAAACTTGATGCTCATATCAATTCCAATTGCTTCCCTTCTATTGAAATTCTCATAAACTGCCGTTTTATGCTTGAATGTCTCTTATGTGGATAAGCATGTTTCTAACAGTGTTTTAAAACTTTATTTTTGATTCTTAGTGTGAAGTCCTTCTATTTCGAATTGCATCATTTGTTTTCTGATGTATTTATGATGTGGTGAGTGTGGTTATGGAAACTAGTAGTGGCTTCTGAATAAGAATTGATGTAGGTTTAGTTTTAGCTGGTGAGAGTTTGTTATTATCAGCACAGAAAGACCCTTGTGTTCAATTTAATATCATCGAAATAGATATCTGTAAATCAATGACCACATTTCTTGAAATTTTCATTGGAACCCTTTATGTGTTTGCCCCTCTTTCTTTAAGTAGCACCTTCCACTGTGCATGTGTGTGTTTTTCTTCTAATGTTTGCTTGCAAATTACTTTCCAGTTACTCAATCATGACATTATAGGATGATACCATGCATTCTCTTATCAATCAGCCTCATTTTCCAATGTTGCTTACTCATCATAGGGTTTAATATGATCCTTCTGCATTCCCATGTTTTCTGAATCTTTTTTATGAGATGCAGAGAGTGGATTGATCTTCATAGACGTCTATGACATGGGCCCTCTTCCTTTAATGTACTTTGAGTGAGACTGCCTTTGCACTTGATTTTTCATGCCATGTAATAAACTCAGTGCTTGTCAAAAAACAGGAAAGAAAGAACGACATGCGACAAAAAAAAGTTCGATTATTTATATGCCTTTTTGACAATACTTCTTTATTTCTTTTTGATATTATTGCCTATCTTGAAGTTTTATGGACTCGGATCTGTATTTACCTGAGTTCTTCTAACTTCAAATTTGTCAAGGAGGTTGGCATACTATATTGTAATCTCATTCTTTTTGATGGCTTATATAAATGCGTGTTATTCTTCAACTTACTGAAATATTTATTTGTCTTCTATCTCGTTCACTTTCAAGCGGTTTTGGAAACAGGACATGGAGCTTAAAAGGATGATGGAGAAAGGTTGGAATCTTGGAACACTCCTCTTGATAATCCTTCTAGTCATGTGCTGATAGTTACCTCAAATGGATAAATGTTGTCAGAAAAAATTGCAAGTGTTATTAACGTGGTCTTCATTCCTTTTATGTTTAGTATAATTTCTTCAAGTAGTTGTCCTTTACTTTGAATAGTTTTACGAAGATAGACTGTTATTTGCTTCGTATGCAATCTTGCCTTTTCATTTTGTTTAGAATATTTTAATTTACTATTGCTTTATTCAGTGGCCGGTTTACCTTGTATGTTCAGATATTTCTATAAAACCTTGGTGCATTCATATATTATTGTGACATCAGCTAATGAGTCTTTCACATTCTTGTGGATATATTTTGACATGTTCAGAAATTCAAATCTTTATATGATGTTCGAAATCCCTTTATATGTGTTTGTTAGTCATGGTAGATCATGCTCGCATCCATTCCGGAATATTGTGAATAATATTTTTCCTATATATTTCTCACAATTTCTACATCTTACAGGTCTTTTGTCTTCCTTTTCAAGATCATTGCATATGCTCTCAAAGAACATTCAAGGATCCCTCAATCTGCATTTGCAACCTCTGGTGAGCAACTGTTATAAGGAGATGCATCTGTCAAAACTATCTGAACTAACTTTTGCATGTTGTCCTTGGGGCTGTTCGTCTTCTGTGGATATCTAATGCTTTTTATTCATTGTGCATGCCTTGATTATACATGAAATGTTCAACTAACTTTATGTTGTCATGATAATTCTGAGGACTTTGTTAAGCTACACTATATGTACTACCAATGGCTGCTAATGTGATAGATTACAAGTGAAAAATATCATTTTTAGTGTGGTGCCCACTCGGTAATAAATTTGCTGCTTTTATTAACTGTTCCGCCTGTTGATTTAGACTGTTAAAGGTATCTTTGGCAAAACATCTATTGGTGCGATTCTATTACTTTTTTAGAAATATCTATGCTACTGCCTTATGCAGTTTGTCTGAATTCTTTTATATATTTTTATAGGGAATTTTTGGTAGAAGAGAATATCTGTCTAAAGCCTACTTTGATGGTGACAAAGGATGGACCTCTTCTGGCTCTATACAGGGTGCAGCCCTCAAGAGTGGCAAGGCAGAGCTCCAAACTACAGGTCAAAGATTTTCAATGCTAATGGAGAGTTTAAAGGTCATTAAAAAAATTGTGCCTTAGCTAGCTTCTTATTCAGCATTTTTCATTATTTTTGCATTCGATCATGATATGATTTCAATTCCTCCTTCAGTTTTGGGTAACTACTTAGTTTCATTTTTCTCATTGATCATGCATGATGTTTTAGGAGTACTTTCACCATTGACTCTAGAGGAAATAAAGTGGCTGCATTCTTGTCAGTATGAAATTACCATGAAAATGGTGTGGTCTTTACTTTGAGACAGTGTAAGTTACAGTGTTAAAAAACCTCAACTCGCTCTGGGAACTGGGCAGGGCCTGGTTTGGGTCAACTCGTTGAATCCTTAGTTGAATTGGTAAGCCTTGCTTGGGTCCCAAAAAAGAAAAAAAGGGGAAAGCAATCCAAAAAAGTAAAAAAGAAAAGGGAAAAAAACCTTAAAAAATTATGAAAAAACTGAAAAACAGAACATGAAAATTTTAGAAAAAATTGAAAACATATAAACTGCTAATATTCATATGCAAAGGGTTGGCAGTGGGCATAGCCCCACCCAGGTCCTCTAGGGTTGGCCCAAGCTCTCCCGGCCTAGACAGGTTCGAGGGGCCTCTGGCCTAGGCGTGGCTCTGGCCCGGGCTGGCCTAGGAGACTTAACATTTTAAAAATAAAAAATTAAGGGGGGAAAGCCCAGGATGGGCTGGTCTTGTTGTGCTACTAGCCAAGGTCGGCAAGTCACATTTTGTGTCCCAGGCCATAGTTTTTTAGGTCCAGGCTGACAGGGCAGACCTGCCCATTTTCAGACCTACATATGTAGATATGTTTGCTTTGATGCCTGTCATATTTGGCATACATGTGATGAAATTATGGTGTAACATTTAATGATTCTACTGCAAATTCAGATGACTTCAATCTTCCAAGTACCAACACCATATTAAAGAAGTTCAACATTCAATCCAATCCATAAAAATCCTACTGGAGTCCAGAGACAATGACATAAACACTTCGCTAAAGATAAAAAAAAAGAAAAGAAAAAAGGAAAAATAAATGAGGGACTCAAATCCTCACCTACAGTTTACGATAAATATGAACGTTGTGGAGGATCATATTCATGCTGGCTATCTTGTTGGTGGCACCCTGAATGTCTTTGTGGGTTGGCTAGCCCCTATTCAAAAGTCTCCAAGGCTAGTCGAACCCTCATACACCCTTACCGCCTTCCTCATGGTTGCCACCTCGTTCTCTGGAGTTGCCATCACTATCTTCTTACATTGTCTTTAGAGGTGTTGTCATCTTACCCATCTTCATCTTCTTGTCCTCATCCCTCTTGTTGAGTCTCCTTGTCCTCCCTTCCTTCCATCCTCATTGATTGGCTCGGTCGCTTCTTCAAGCACCCTCTTGTTGAGGATTGATTCTTCCTGCTCCACTAGCCATTGTTTTGTCTGATCTTTTACTAATTTGTAATTGAGATGTACATGGTTGTAATCATACCCTCCCCTCAATTGCCTTTTCCTTAAGTTCAAGTTATATTGCACGTTCACCAATTTATGAAGCTTTGTCGTAGCCAACCTGTTCCTTGTTTGGTGTGTGAATCTGCTGGAGTGTACTCCAGTTTTGCTTGCACCTTGTTATGGAATATATTTGGCTTAGGATCCTGATTGCTTCCTGGTTGCGATTCTTTCAAGGTGGGGGTCTCATTTCCATGTATCTCCTACTGCTATGTTGAAAAAGTGAAGACAAATTACTCAAGTGAGAGTGCAGTCATCAAATAAAATACATCACAAAAGTAATGATTCTTTGAGCCTGTGACTAATAAAAATTGAAAGCTAAACTGACTCTAGCTATGTGCCACTTCTTATCACATGGCTTTACCTAAAATCTCCTTGTGTATCCCTATATCGAGCATATGACACATGATCTCAGGATGGTTGCTTTGATCAGGGATGTGGTAGTATGCCGTTCTAAAGAAGAAACCTACATACGTTTATGAATTCGGCTTGACCATATATTCGTAGTGAAATAAAGAAACCCTCCACAAAGCTAAGGCACATAAATCACAACTTAAGATTTATTTTTCGAAGGTTACCTGCTGCATGGATTGGGCACTGCAGTGGAGAAATCCACTTGTCATGGATAATGTTCTAAACTTTTTTATGGTACTTGTGATTGACTCCTGTGGCTTGCTTTGCACGGTCCTTTGCTTCATAGGAAAGCCCATGTCAAGCTAATAATTTACTTACACTTATCTTAAAATCTTTGGCTATTGATGATTCTTTGACTTCTCTTGCAGCTGGAGTCTTTGAGATAGGTGAATGTAACCCCTTCCTCTGATCCTGAGGCAACCATATTCTTCCACCCTAATTGGGACTTGAGGGTTGACTCTATGGTCAAATGTGAGATTGCAAATCTAGTAATGTCTGACCTTATCATCTCTTACTTCTGTGCATGTCCTCCTGTTGTTTAGGATCCATTGGTGATTGTTTATGAACTTTGCCTTCCTTTCTCAACGTATTCCTTAGCTTGCTTCTGTTCACCAATTGTTTCCAACATAAGGTCAATGTAGTGAGCTGTGCATGTGCTCCAAACAAAATGTTTCCTCTTTTTCATAAGTCTCCTCCTCAATATCAATTATGACTTGAACTACATGCTACCCCCAAATGGCTCCACACTATCGAGTATCCCACTCTTGATTTTGTTAGAGGCATATACGCCACTAAAGTGGGAGATTGTGCTGCATGGACAATGTAACTAATGATTAAAAGCCCAAACTAAGGTCTTGCTCGTCGGGGTCTTAAGCCCGAGCCAGAAGCTGACTCTTCCGAGTCGTACTGCTGATCTGGAATAGTCAAAATAAAAAAGCACATCAGAATAAGTGACTTGGGTCAGAGGCGCCAAGAGTCTTAGATTATTCGCCAGACCTGGCACTATACCTTGTCTGAGTGTCTTGGGCATTTATAAACCTGAGTCATTGATTTCTAAAACACTGCAGTGTACCGAAAAATTGATTAGGCTCCTTCCTTTGGTGTCCTTTCAGCCATCTGACATTATTGTCACCCTTGTCCTTTTGCTACATTGTCTTATAATACTCCATAAATAAATCAACCTTGGCCACCTCCTGATTCAAGCAAGGTCCACCAAGCTCATATGTGTTTGAGGGCTTGAATCTAGGCTCCACAGTTGCAATAGTGGATATCATGGCTTCATAATATTCACTATTTGCATGACAACATCATAAAACCACTTACAATTGCCTTCATAATGCACTTCTTAATTGTCTTGCTCCATGGGAACTTTGGGTTCCTTACTTTTGACTGGTAATTGGACTAATAGGGGTCAATTTGACCCTAGATAAGCTGGAGAGGGTGAGGCTGGGAAGGCTGCATGGTCTGGGTAGGCTGAGTAGTATTATGAATTCTTGCCTTTCAAACATGCTTTTTTGACCTTAATAATCCTAGCCTACATCCTTTCAAGCCAGGTACTAAGTGACTTGATCCAACTCCATGCGCCTCACACCACTGTGCCTCCCCATGCTGTTCTGCTGACGATATGTATTTTCTAGACTAGTCCTCCTTGCATACTCAAGTTGGCCATGCAAAATCATTTTCCTCTTCCTGTCTGGAAGGCACCTAATATTTTGGCTTCCTATCTCTTCAACCATTTTCTGTTTTTGTGCCTTCTTCCCTTTTCTAATTTGATGGGTACAAGATTGCTTCCTTGATGTACTTGGGTACTTTATCAGTATATCAAGTGGCATAATATCCCTGCCAGACTTCTTCTTCCTATAGAATACATGTTTAAACTTTATCCTTCTCTGTGAATCCACCTCCCCCATATTTACACCCTGGATTCTCGCCCGCCCCTTGACATTTTCTAATGCTTGAAGTCTTGGAATTAATATCACTTGAACTTCGAAGCTTGAATATATGCCTACACTGGCAGAAGGTACTACTGGTCCTATATTTAAGTTGGCAATATGTATAAAAATATTTTCATGTACATTCAAAAAAAAGAAAAGGTTAATTTACTATTTTTTGAGTGAAAATGTTACTTTGAAAACAAAGCAAGCATGATAGAGGCATAAAAACCCTACGAAAAACATCTCATTAGGTGATACCACATATATATGTGTATAAAAATGGTTTCACATAAAAGAGTCATTTACTGTTTTTTTTTAAGGGAGAATTTTACTTTACAAACAAGTAAGCATGAGTGAAACCCAACCAAAAACATCTCATTAGCATCATCATCAAGTTGAAATGAGAAAATCAATAGATGATACCCGCATGCAGATACGTATAAATATATTTTTCAAGTAGATCTTTATCTGATTTTTTTGAGAGGAAGTGACATTTTATGAACAAAGTAAACCAAACAGAAAAGTCTTGCAAAGCATCAACAAGGTGAAAAATAAAATAAAAAATACTGGAAGTTATAACATGAAAAGAAATACTTTCACATACATTCAAATATAAAAAAATCTTTTGCTGATTTTTCTAGGAGAGTTGTTACTTTGCGGACAAAATAAGCATGCTATAGATATAAAAAAACTAAAAACAACATCTCATTGACATGAACAAGTCGAAGAATAGAATGCCAACAAATGATACCCCCATGTAGACATATACAAAAATATTTTCATGTACATTTAAATGTCAATAAAAATGTGAAATTATCGATTTTTGTTTTTTTGACTCCACAAATCATGTTCATCCTAAAAACAAAAATAAAAGAAAAGAATCATTCATAAGAAAAGGAAAGAATCATTCATAAGACTTTAAATTGAAAACACAAAACCTATTATCTTACCCAAATTTTTGAAGCTAATCCTCCTAAGCTGTATTCCCTTCCAATTGCGGCCTCCAATCTTTGCAAAAAGATCCTCAAATGCCACAAATCAAAGCCTCTAAACTATTTTTAAGGTGGGCATTGGATCCACTTGATCTGAAGATCAAAAGTTCTGCCCAAATCCTAAAATCTCTAATGGAAATCTTGGATTTGCAAGACTTCAGGCCCTTTTTTTTTGGGGTTAAATTCTATGCCTTGGATGTGAAGGAGGGCATGAAAAATAACCCCAAATCCTTTTTCTTATAGCCTGACCACTGTTGTGGCTGGAAAACAGAATGAGGGGGTTTGGCTTTCTGGCCCCTCTTCCATCATATCTTTCTAATTGGTGTTAGACTCAGAATGTCCTTGAAGTTTCATTCCAGACTCAAAGAATTGGTCAAATCTGACACAAAAATGCACGTATCTGCACATTGGCTCTGGGGGTTTAGTAAATAACATGGCTTCTAGCAAGTTGGGGTATAGTAGGTGAGTTTGATTTGCCTGAGTTGGTACTGCTAATTTTTTGAATACTGATAAGGTGCTTTGTGGATTCTATAGCTCTTTTCAAATTTAGGATGCATTTTCCTTTTTCCCATGCTTTTTATCATTTTGGTTAAACGAAATGATATTCTATCAATACCCCCTTGGTGATGTATATGAAGGTAGTTTTGGCATTTTACACCACGTACATGTATATGTTTAGAGTGCATCAGAGCTATAATATTTCTTAAAAATGTTCTATTTTTTAGGTCAACATTTCTTAAAAAGTTTTTTATGGAGCCCTGAAATGATTGTATGTATTTTTTCAGCGCAGACATTTTTCAACAACTGGAAATGGTGCTGATGATCAAAAAAATGAAAAGGAAAAGTGAGTGTCGAACTTATCTTTCAGATATTGGGAATGACTATAAATGAATTGAAATGTACTTTTCTATATATATATATTGTGTGTGTGCGCGCGCGTGTGCGCATCTGCGTATGTGCATGTATACATGCACACGCATGCGCAGTCACACCTATCTCTTTTATGTAATCTTGGTTGTAAAAAGCATATTGTGTATCTGATAACCATTTCTTGTAACTGTCTTTTGAAACGATCTTTTGGTATCAAAGGTCCATAATCAAATGGCTAAAGTTTAGTGACCAAAACACCAAATTCTTCCGTATGACCGTGAGCCACATGCATAGGGAGAACATAATATGCCATATTACAATTTAAAAAAAAAAAAACATAATATCCCATATTAAAGTGGGGCATCGGGCCTACTGCCAGCTTGAGGTGGTTGATAGAGCTATTGTCAAATTTTTCAGGTAGGTTTTCTTTGCAAAGGTTACCCCTCGACCTACCATGAGCTCTCTCTCTTTCCTACCCATTCCTGATGCAAAACAATAGGAGGCCAAATTCAAATTTTATTTTATCTATAAATTTCATGAATGTGGTGGGTGGTCTTCATTTGTTATTGTAAGCTCACTTAGGGGGGGGGGGGGGGACTAGATGGGTATTTTGTTTTTATAATGTGGCTTGGTAAAATTTAGCAAATTCTACTTATTTAGGATAGATTTGAATTTCCTCTAGTATTGAGTTCTTTGATTGGTAGTTCCATAATTTGAGGTTTGGATAACGTTGGACCTTCTCTTTTTCTTATTTTTCTTCCTTGAGGTATTTGGTTTCTTTAAATTAGATGGGGATAACATGGGAAGCCAAACGTGTAGGATCTAGAGAGAGAATCACGTGAGTTTGAATAGTGTCCTAGGTTAGCGGGTTTGTGGCATGTGTATGAAATGGAATTTTGAATTAAAAGGAAAGGTGCACGAGCTAGAGAGAGATATAATATTTGGGTTTTTCTATTTTTTATTTTTATGACTGGCTTTTAACATAAGGACTTAGCCATCCCATGACAAGACTAGGTGTTATTCTGTGAAGAGTTTTTTATCAAAGAAGAAAAGAATTCTTCCTTTTGGCTTCATTACGTTAAAAGCTAGTTGGCTTCATTACGTTAAAAGCCAGTCATAAAAATAAAAAATAGAAAAATCCAGATCTCTCTCTAACCTCGCATGGAACTTCTCTCTCCCCCTCTCTCTCTCTCTCTCTCTCACACACCTCTGCCATTACTGTTCTTCCAAATTATGCAACTCCTGAAAACCCCTTCTAACTCATTTTCTTTTGGTTAAGGAAGCAACCTGGTAGCTTGAACTTAGGATTGCAAGTTCTTCAAGTTGTAACCACCATCGAAGCTCCATGAGTAAATGGCATTGGTTTGAGTCAAGTTCCCATTTGCACCAGTGATAACCACAAATAATTCTTTGCCTCAAATTCTTGAGATTCTTGAGAGTTATTTGTGGATCGAAATCAAGGGTTTTAAGTGGCATGAAGCAATGGAATTACTGATTCTAACTTCAAGAGTGTGGGAAATAGAAGCTTGCTTAGGAGGTAAGATAAACGACAAATTTTGCTAGGAAGAATGGAGATACCATGCGCCTTACCACTCGACCCTTCAGTTCATTAGTCCTTGCTCCATCCCCATCTCTTGTACCTCCAAGCCTGCCCAGGAAGTTTGTAGCTCTAAAAAATCCTTCGCAGACATTGTGGTTTCTAATATTGCCCAACTTTCTTCCTCTTGTCCAACCTCTACCTCCCTTCCTGCACCCTCTTCTTCATCCATTATCCTTGTATCTTGTGACAAGCCAGCTCACCCCACCCCCCTCACCCTCCTCCTCCTCCTCCAGCCCTTTTTTTTTTATCCAATGGGGTGCCTCTTATTTTGCTCCCCAAAACCATTGAAACTCTGGAGCATATTTCCTCTTTAAAAAATTCCTTCACAGCTTCATTCCTGCCTCAGAGAAATGATATCAAAGGAATCACTAAATGGTTCCAGTCTATTTTAAATAATCATCACATCCTTTGTAGCCCTTTGCACAACGGAACCTATCTTATCTCTTTACCAGATGGTGCCCTCATCCCTCCTGATGTATCCCTAAATTGTCTTTCCTTCAGAGGGGGGCAGCTGACTCTCAGAACTTAGAATGAGTCCATTGATGCCGAACTCAAAACCAAGCTATGGATTCTTATCCAGGGTATTCTTATCCATCTTTGGTCCCATTTCATATTTAAAGCCATGTGGTGGCTTCATTCCAATTAATTGGAAATCCTTAGGCTTTCACCCCTTAGGCCGCCTTATCCTATGATGGCTTCCTGTGGTGGCTTCATTTCAATTAATTGGAAATCCTTAGGCTTTCACCCCTTAGGCCGCCTTATCCTCCTTGTTGAATTCCCTAATCCCGACTCCATTCCCTCATCTTGCGTTCTTAACTCTAATGGCTTCTCTTACCACCTCAAAATCTCTATCTAGGGGTCTGCAAACCCTGATTGCCATGAAAGGGTCCCTATAGACCATGAAGGTTGGACAATTCTGTCTGTGCCCAACTGCATATGGTCTCTCCTCAGGACCATCGTAATCTGGTGCACCTCAGCCCCAGCAGCGGGCTCCTGTGGTCGCCTTAAATGCTTCCCTCTCTTGCTCTCTCCAGGATTTGATATTCTCAAGGACCCACCACCTCTTGACACGTCCCCCACAATCATATCCCCCTAGCCTCTCCTGCCTAGACCTTTTGACGGCAATCCATCTTCTATGTCCCATTTCGCCACCTTGTCATCTCTTGATGCCATTCCCAATGCCCCTCATGCGCGGTCATGCGTTGGGGGTCAATCAATCACCTTTTTGGTATCCCCATCTCCGGTACCTGCTGCCCCTCATTTCCTTGGCTAGCTATTAGTACGCTCTCCCCGCCTCTTCCCAATGCCCCTGCCATTAATTCCATTTGCTGCTCTTCTATTCCCCTCTCTATTCCTTATTCTCTCTCCATGTCCCCCTCATCGAAAGCTGCTCCCTTTGGTAACCCCCTCTCCTCCCCTCGTCCTGTCCTCAAGACCTGCTATCCTGCCTTTTCCTCTTCCTATCTCTCGCTCCCTTTCCCTTGCTTCTTCTCAATCTGCTACCTCGCAATCCACCCTCGATATCATTTCCCCCCTTCATCATGGCGTTCTTCAGTCGTCTCTCCTTCCCTAGCCCTTTGATCCTTCTCCCCCTCTCTCAATCTCATCTCCATCCCCCATCCCCTCCACTAAAACCCCTATCCCCCCTTTCTTTCTCCGGCCTCACCCACTCTTTCCCTTCCGGATCAGTCTTTCTCTATCTCTGCATTCCCTCTCATGCCTAGAAGATAGAAACAACGCCTAGTCCTCCCGGGTAGGTGGTGGAAGCCTTAGTCCTCCTCTGCCCCCCCGCACTCCAACCCTCCTACCCCCCTTGGTTCAACTACCTCTCTATCCTTCTTACGTCCATTTCGATGGCTTTCCTACCCCTTCTTCAACCAATGAGTCTTCTCCTCCCCCTATATGTCTTTTTTTAATCCTCACCTTCTATCCCCATCCCTTCTAATTCCTTTGCCCTTCCTCTCCCTAATCCACCTGGGTCGGGTCTTGCCCAAACTGACTTGGACACCTTGGTCCCCCTTTCGCTAGAAATGAGGCTGCCTCTTAACACCTACCAGTCCTCCCAAGGAAGAATTCCCCCTGTCACTTCCCCTCTAAATTACTTTTTCTCCCCTCCACCTACCCCTCAATCCCAACTACAAAACCTCCCCCCTCTTCTCTCTCCACCCCTCTGCAAATAATTTCCCCTGTCTCCCCCCCCCCCCTCCTGTTCACCCTTTTTTCTAATCAGAATCATCAAGGCTTCTTTGTCGATTTTGATGCCGACTCTAGTCGCATATAGAGGTGGATATCTAAGAGCTTTAGAGAATCGACAGAGGAGAGCCGCGTGCGGCTAACATGATTCGAACCATGGGCCTCCTTTTTTATGGCAATATTTCAGATATTACTGACTCCCTCAGGCAGGACACAAGAGCTGTGCAGGCAATTGCTTCCCCCATTAAACCTAAAGGATTTAGGGAACTTATTAATCTTCAATCTTACGTCAATTATGATTCTCCTGCCTCTTATTTTGCTCTTGTTCCTCTTCTAGCATCTCTATCACAGAGTTTCAAAAAACGTAGGTTTAGAAGAAAAACCTCCTCCACCCTAAGTCCCCCTTATGAAGATCCTTTACTGGAATATCTTGGGCCTTGGGCCCCATACCACTGGAATATCTTGGGCCTTGGGTCCCATACCAAGCGCTACGCGGTTCGATCCCTTATCTCCTTGCATTTTCCGGACATCATTGCTTTGTTCAAAACTAAACTCCCCACCCCTGACCTTAGCCTTATTAGGGATACTTGGGGGAGGAGACCTTGCAACTAGATGGCAAAAGGCTCCCTTGGAGCTTCTGGGGGTATCTGCGTTCTTTGGAACTTGATCATTTACTAGGTTGTCTCTTCCTCAATTAGAAGCTTCTCCATCAATATTTTCTTCTGTAGAATCTCCAATAGATTCTCTTCCAAAGTGTCCCTCATTTACGGACCCAATTTTCCCTCCATCTGCCAATCTCTTTGGCCGGTGCTCCTCTTTGAAAATCCCTCTTCTGGTATCCCCTGGCTTCTAGAGGGTGACTTTAATGTCTCTAGATGTGTTCATGAGAAGAGTGGTCCTATCACGACCGCGGTGAGAGCATTTTCGAAATTTATCGACTAGGTGCCCCTCTTAGAGATTCCCCTTTTAGGTGCCTCCTTTACCTGGTCTAATCATGTTACCCCGCTAGTCATGACCAACATTGACACATTCTTGGTCTCTAATTCCTGGGAAATGGCCTTTTTGGGTACCCGGTCTAGTGCTTTACCTAAAAAAACCTCGGATCACAAACCAATCCTTCTTGATATCAACTCCCTCCAACAGGTTAGAAAACCCTCAGATTTAAACTTTTCTAGTTCATC